AGATGGAGGCGGCGGCGGAGGACGGAGGTGCTCGGAGGAGCGTCTCCGGCGCTGCCCGTGCTCTCCCGCCCCGGGGAACGAACACACACAAGAGAAGGAGGAAGCGGCGGTAGTGGCGGCGGCGGCGGCGGTAGTGGCGGCTCGGTCCCCGGCAGAAGGGCACCCGTGCAACATTCCACAGGGGCTGTCACTGCCCGACGTTCATCATCGCCGGAGAGACGGCGGCCAAGTCCCCGCTGGTGCCGGCGCTCCCACGCCCAGGGCCTCGACGATCGGAGCGTCCCGACGTCTCCTCGTTCCAAAGGCGCTCCCAACAACGTTCGGACCGGCCAGTCCCCTCTTCGCCCGTCCCGATGATCGTCGGAAGGCTTCGCGGTCGCGGCTCCGGCTCCTTTTTTTTTCCCTCTCTCTCTCTCTCGAGCGCGCTCCAAGGGTCGGCTCTCCCTTCACCGCGATTGACCCTCCTCTTCCTCCTCCTCCTCCTCCGACCCCCTTAGATGGCAAGCGAAAGGAAAGGGGAAGAAAACTCCGCTCATACCAAATCCGATCGTCTCCCACGGAGATCCCTCCGGCAGCCGCTTCTTCCGTTTGAAAACTTTTATTGATCTTAGTTGTTGGCCCTTCGCAACAAACGCGATCAGAGGGGGAGGGAGGAAATCCTTTTCTTTATAGCCACCAAGAACTCCCGCGAGCGGAGAAAGGATCGGTTGTTGTGAACTCCCGTCTTTCCCCTGCTAATTACACGCGTCTTCAAAGGTCTAAGTGCAATAACCTTTTGTTGTGGTTTTTCCTCCCCCCGCTTCTTCCTTCCCCTTTAAATGGATCTTGCTCTTCCCCTCCCCTTTTAAAAAAAATCTTCGAAAAAAAGAAGAAGAAGAAACACGATCTTGATTGATTCAGTTGTTTATTTTCCCTTTTTTAAAAAAAAAAATCCTCGCCTTTTCCTTGCCAATTCGTGCCAGTCGCGACACAAAACAATATAACACGAAAACCGCAGCAGCACCCCGTACCCACCGCTCCGAACAGCTCTAACACCACGCTCTGGCGAGGTGACTCCTTTGACCAAATTTAGCAGCAGCAAATCATTAACATTCTGATACATATTCACAACAATCGGAAGGCAAAACTGCCGCGGAGCATCTCGGGATACGTAGTCCTTAGAGGCGCTAAGTCTTCCCGGCTGATTCGCACCGGAGGACCCAAATAAACTACCAATCCCATCAAAAAGCCCGGCGCTGCTTTAGACTCCTGTCTCATTCTCCCCCGTCCCCGCCGACCGCTCCTCCCACAGAGGGCGTCGCCAACGACCAATCAGCAGCGTCCACTCATTAATCGCCGTTCTGTATTAATGCCCATCATTTCGCCGCTGACAAATGGGCTTACGGCTCTGAGGCGGAGGGGGAGCCGGGCTCTGGTTTCCCCACGTGGGGACGAGACGTTGAGTCCGCTGGCAACCAATCCGGCGGCTCCTTCGGCGGAGTCCCTCCCCCAACCCGCCCTCCTTCGCCCTGCCTGAGGTGGAGCTTTGAGATTGCTGACGTTCGATTGCGCCGGCGTTCGAACAGGGGAAACATTTGTTCAGCTGTCAATCAAAGTAACGTGGGGTCGTTTGCTGCCGCCGCCGCCGCCGCTACTGCTGCTGCTGCTGCCGGCTCTTGTACACTGGGTGGTGGCACAACAAGGGAGGTGTGCGGCTGGAGCGGGGGAGGCGAGGCGATCCGCTGAACCTCGCTACGTCCCTCCCCTCCACCCAGCCCCCGCCCCCCATCCAGTGCCACTCACCGCCTCTGTATCACCCACACCGGGAGGAATGCGGACTAATTAGGGGCCAATGTCTCCTTAAAGAGACAAGCGCGGCCTTGTGTAACGTGCCGAAACCCCTGTTGAGACAAGAGAGGGGAAGATCGCGCCGGTCCCACTTCTTTCAGTTCACATCAATTTTACGCGCCACTGGAGCTGGCATAATTTTCATGTGAACGGGGCTGGAGCGCGGCATCGAGCGAAAGGCGGGCGGGCGGACAGACAGACAGACAAGACAGACAGACAGGCCGGACATAGAAAAAAAAAAGAAAGGAGAAAGCGAGAGAGCGACGCCCAAGGAAGGGAGCGCGGAGCGAAAGATTGGGATCTTTTCATTTTCTTCCATTTAGGGAGATGTCAGGATTTCCCCTCCGCTGTATAAAAGGCGGGCTGTTAATTGGGCACAAAGACGCCTGGCACTGAAAGGCAGAGAGGGAAAGACGGGGAGCGAGAGAGAGAGAGAGACGGGCGAAGGAAATGAAGGCTGTTCAAACGAATAATTTACCCGGAGATAATTTACTCCGCGCCAGTGACCTCCGTCTAAAGCGGCGGCAGGCTAGCGGATCGGGGGCGGCCGGCCGGGAAGAGCCGTGGGGCGAGGGGGGGGGGAGAGAGACTCTGTCTCTCCCTGTGTGCGATTGTGACCTAGACAGTACAAAACGGGGGCTTTCCTCGGATGCTAGATGCTAACGAGGCTTCGCGCCAGGTTAATGAGGAAATCGGAGCCCCTCCGGATCGCTTTGCTGCCACGTCGCTCCGGATTTCAGCAGGGAGGGGGCCAAGCGTGGCAGCTCTGCGTTTTGCACGGCTGAACAAGCAAGCGGAGGGGGGTGGGGAAGGAAGGGAGGGAGGGAGTTCAGGGCCGAAGTGGTAAACCGTCTGGATTTCCATCATCCCCTCCCCATGAAATAAAGGCTGGCCATTTTTCCATGCCCGCTTGGAAACCCGAGATGTTAGGGGTGGTGGGCAGGCGAAGTTTCGAAACGGGGCATTGGGCATCTGCCCCCGGCGGATCTCGGTAAAGGCGGCTCTGATTTAGTGCCGCTCAAGGTAAAAACAAGTCTCAGGGAGGCTTATGAATGGGATGAGGAGACCAGTGCAGCTCCGGACGTTCAGCACATAGGAGGGCTAACGAGGTGCTTGTATTATACCGGTGTTTCCACAACTCGGGGAGCTCCTGATTGGATTAGGGTCCTCCAAGACATGTCCAGATTTTTTTAAAAAAGGTATATTTCTACATGGCTATTATCTGTATTGTGTCCAATGCAAGGAACATGTATAGATGATGGGAGTGTATAAGAGCCGCATTTGCCTATGTGTTAATTTGCAAAGTAGGCCCCACTCAACTTGGACTGACCTGGAGGCATCCCCAGTTCTATCAAATTAATAGGGGAAAGTGTCTTCAGGGGGAATAATAGGGAAATTATTTCCTCCTTACAGTTCTGTACAGTATTTGAAACCCAGCTTGTATGAAAATGGCACTTCGTAGAGGTGTCTTAAAGCAAGATAGAAAAAGAGAGTATTTCTGATGGACAGGATTAGATTGCAGGTGTGTCGCATACAGTGTCTGACTGATGTGAGCACTCAGCATTATCTAAACAAACACACAGGGCGACACCCTTCCAGACCTTACAGTCTCCACTGAAATACTTTTTATCATTCTCTTACTTTGGGAGGAGGGTTCGTCGTGGGGGTGGAGTGGGGGGAGAGAATGTAGAACACCAGATCAGTCCTATGATATATTATTTCAACAGCCTTCTCCAAAGTCTGAGCTTTAAGAATTTTGGTAAATCCATTGACTCTGGTTAGATGCACAAAACTTGCCCTACTGCCCACCCACCCCAGTGTTTTGTATTCCTTACAGGGAGCTCTTGGAGAAAAATGTACAGTATCAGTTTTTGGAAACATTTTTGTCTACATCTACATGTCCTTCCAAATCAACATTACAAACAAATCTTCGGGATTGCCGAAATTTGGAGTCAGTCTGCTTTGGAGGAGTTATTCCATCTGGACATCTCCCAAATCTGTCTGAATCAGCCAGATTCAGTTCCACAATAAGGATTTGTCAAGATTTGAATCACTCTTAGAGATAATTGCTGAGTTCACGTTCTACTAAGAATTTTGCTAAGTACACCTTTAGGCTTTATCAATAATGGTAATAATCTTTGACATATGATCAATTTTCATGATCAATGACCAATTTCATCTAACCTCCCTCCATCCAAAGCTACTTAATCAAACCATGTCCCTCCTCAGATGCCCAGTTTGGCTTT